TTACCTTTAGCTAGCATTTTCCCAATTTTATTTAGCTTTTTCTTCATTTTAAATAGCCTTTGCTTTTTAACACTTTTAGCTGGCATTTTGCTGCTTTTATATTTCCTTTAACAGAAAATGCAGTTTCTCCAGTTTTCATTGCTTATAAAACATTATTAGTTTTAATCTTTGATGTGCTGTATTGGAAAATAATCTACTGGTAATTCCTCTTTTTATTTAATCCCATCTTTATTGATTTATTAGTTTTGGTTTAGCCCAGTTTACCTTGTTTTTCCTCAGCGGCCTGATCTTTTTGAGACGTTTCAGCTGAAACTCAGCAGCTCTGAGGTCGCCTGCACCTGCAGGACTCGTCTCCTCTCAGCAGCTGGAACATGGCGGTGTGTTTGACCCGCACGGTCGGGTACCACATGGAGAAAACGAGGCCGTGCATGCAGTTCTCGTTGTGCGGAGCTGCTCCTGAAGGCCCCCCCCCCCCCCCCATGCTTTCACACACACTTTAAATTTCACGCCGGTCTTTATGGAACTACTCTGAGTCTAATCCACCTCTTGACCCGGCCATCCAGAACTTCCAGCCTCTTTCTTGATCCCTCTTTCATTTCCACGCTTCTTCCCTCTAAGCCTTTTCCGACTACAAAATTAGCCCCGAGGCTTCGGCTGACCTAAAAATTTCCTTTAAAGCTGCAGTGAGTTCAGCACACGCAGCTGTTTCTAAGAGTTTGATGCTCGAGTCATGAAAACAGGTTTGGTTCTTGAGTCCGAACCAGTGAAATCTATTCACTTTTCATTTAATGCGCCCTGTGGTGCATTTTGACTCTAATAAATGGATTCGAGGCCTTAGATGTATAAACTAATGAGACTTTGACACTCTCTACTCTCACTGGTTCTGCACCAGTTAAGGGCCTGCCCAAGCCGGTTCCCACTCAGCCCGCTTTATGGGACCATCTTGTTCGTTGTTCCAAGCGAACTGCTCCGAGGTGAACATTTGTGAGACGAAGTGGTCCAAGACTTTAAAAACCCTCACCGTTGGATCTGTTCTGATAAACAACCAAACTACACAAGACGGGCCCCGACCACTCAGTGAACCGAAGAACACCGGAGAGGAGTTTAAAATAACACAAGTCTGGTCGTGATGTCGTCAAAGCACACGAGTCTTCACCTTTACGTGCATATTGAAAAGTAGACCTGTTGCATGGCGCCCGCAGTGTAAACTGATTTTATGTCTCTGGATATATTCACGGTTCGGTTTCTGTGTTGCAGCAGTGAGACGTGTGAGCAGACAGGACTGTGTTCTGATTTGTAGGAGCAGACAAGCTCTCATTTCAAGGGTTCAAGGGCACGGTGGTGCAGAGCGTGTCGACGCACAGTGAGGAGGTCGTAGGATCGGTTCCCGGTCTTTCTGGGTGGAGTTTACGTTTGGCCCGTTCATCCGGGTACTCCAGTTTCATCCCTCAGAAAAAAAAAAACATTTATGTTAGAATGATTGGCAACTTTAAAATTGTCTGTAGGGGAGAGTGAGACGTTGTCTCTGTGTCCCTGTCCAGGTTGTCCCCCGCCTCTCTCACAATGACAGCTGGAGATAGACACCAGCTCCCCAGTACCCAGAAAAGTGGGTAAATAAAACGGATAGCTGGACGGAGTTTCTCCGTTCAGTTAAGAAGCAGAAGAATATTCCCCTTGAGGTGATGAAGGACCAACTCTTTCTGTGAACAGTTTGGTGAAGCTCCTCAAGCTGCCACAAACCAAGACAGAGGAGGCTTACCGTCCCATTCCGTGTTCTTTGTCCTCGGGCGAAGCATGCGGAGGCAGAATATTTAAGAGTTGTTTAGATGCTGCAGTCTCCATGTCTGCACAGAAACAGGTTCTGAATAATGGATCCAGCGTTTCTCGGTGCATGGAAAGCAGGTTGTTGCTAAAGAATAATGAGAATACAGCAGCAGAAGAAAAAACGAGGCCGCATCACTTCCTGGATGACCAGCGGCGCTTCTTTAACAAAATAATGGACTTCTGTCACATCGTCTGCTCCTGGAATGTGTTTCAAATGAGCGGAGAATAAAAGAACGTCAACTTTAACATAATTAAAGGTTTACACATTCAGGGATTTATTTTTTTTTTTTTTAAAGTTGTGCAGGTTTCTCTCTTTTGAGTTTAAATGCTTTTACAGATAAAGATCTAAAATGTTCCTGCTCTTTATTAATAATCATAAATAAATTGATTAGAGCTGAGAGGACCCAGGTGAACTGAGTAAACTCAGATTGTTTGGGTTTATGGAGGCCTACCTGAATAATCCTGGACAGCGCCGAAGAAACGATGCAACATCTTAGTGACTCAGGACCGAGTGGACCATGTTTCGAGCACAAACATTCCTAAAAATCTTTTCTGCAAGTCTTTACAACCAAAAAATATATACATTCCAAAGAAAAAATAGGAAAAAGAATGATATTGAAGAATAAGCACGATAAAAAGAATGAAATGACAAAAAGTACTGCATCGTTGCTGCTATGAGTCCAGTTGGACCCATCTTATTTCAATCAAATACACCTGACAATAAAAAAACAGTCTATTTGTTTTGGCAGGCAGATTTCTGGCACTACGTGAACAAAGTAATACATTATTAACAGACCGAGATGTTCCCCGTCTGACTCACTAAAGAATTACTCTTAAAGAGTGGAATGGATTTGCATAAATCCGGGGCTTGTTCTGGTACCACGTGGCTGGCTCAGGCTTCAGAGGGAAGCTCGGGGTTAGAACGTTCTCATGAACCAGATGGCTCTACCTTCAGGTTTTTCCTCTGAGAGCTTCCCAGCAGGTTGGAGACAAAAGGTCCTAATAAAAACAGGAAGTGTGCCGAACTGAGGGCAGGGTGGGAGCCGGGGGAATGTTAGATTTACTCGGAGTTCTCCAGGAGGTCCAGTTCTCGTTGTAATTATTGTTTCCTGTGGAAGTGAGCACAGAGTCCAGGGTTTCAGGTTTCATCCGACCACTTTCAGAGCTCGTTTCCAACCACCGAGCCGGGAAGAAGAGCCAACGTCTCCAGAGGAGGAAGACTCGGAGCGCAAAGAGCAGCTCGACGCTCAGCGCTCCTCTCTGCAGAGTTCTGTTTGAACATCTCTGCTTTTAGATTGGGCTGGACTGAAGGACAGCGGTGGTCAGAACTTTCAGTTTGAGTCACTGCTCTGAACAGCTAAGATCTGTGAACTTTAGTTACTTCTTGGCAGTTTGCTTGATTGTCGTGATAACCCAAATTTCAAAAGGAAACGTTTCACACACCTAGATGCAACCACACACCTGGAAGTTGTTATTTATCGTGCTCACAATATGCACGGACAGACAGGAAGTATTTCCACATCCTCCTTTGGCTCAATGATGAGGGACAAAAAGACGATCTGTGAAACTGTTAGCTTGGCTGGCCAGGAAAAATTCCTCGAGTCTCAAAACTGAAGTTAAAGACTTATCCTACGGTGGCCCTGATGTGTAAATGAACAACGTTTGAAAAAAATGGAATCGCATTTGAACAAAATCATTCAAAAATTACGTACATTTCTGTTTATTCTAATGTTGTTTTGTTTTTTTCAAATGTGATTCCGGCCACTTCCGCTTTGGCCACTTCCACTTTGGTTTAATTTAATTGTTTTTTCTAATGTGATTCTATTTTTTTCAAATGTGATTCCGTTTTTTAATAATGTTGTGTTTTTGTTGTGTTTTTCTAATGCGATTCCATTTTTAAAAAATGTTGTTGTGTTTGTTGTTTTTTCCAATGTGATTCCGTTTTTTTATCTAGTTCCGTTTTTTTTCAAATGTGTTTTTGTAGTGTTTTTTTCCAACATGATTCCGTTTTTTTTTTTTTTTTACTTAGTTCTGTCTTTTTCAAATGTGTTTTTGTAGTGTTTTTCAAATGTGATCCAGTTTTTTTCAAATGTGATTCCGTTTTTTTTTTAAACGTTGTTGCGTTTTTGTTGTTTTTTCTAATGTGATTCCGTTTTTTTACCTAGTTCCATTTTTTTCAAATGTGTTTTTGTAGTGTTTTTCAAATGTGATTCACTTTTTTTAAATGTGATTCAGTTTTTTTCAAATGCTGTGTTTTGTAGCGTTTTTTCAAACGTAATTCTGTTTTTTTTAAATGTTGTTCATTTTCACCTTAGGGCCACCGTAATAAAACGCTTAAAATACATTTACAGCATTTATCTGTCAAGTAAAGTTTGTGTCAAAAAGAATAAAGCCATTTGTCTTATCTTAAAGGAGTACGAGGATACTTTAGACCAAAAGTCCGGCAGTTAGTGTTTTTATTTCAGCCTTCAGTGTTTTTCTGTTACATGTGTGCACTGTTTCTCTGCGCCCCCTCACGTGGAGGTCGTACAAACTGAGGTTCCCTCACTGCAGGGTCAACAACATGAGACTAACTGGTGTTGGGACTGAACGAGAAGAAACCAAAGTCTCTGCAGACAGAAGTGGTTGTGAGGTTGGGTTTGGGTGTTTCTGTGCCTGCAGACTTCTTAATGGGCCGAAACTTGTTGAGCAATTAACTGATCGTGTTCCAGCATCTCTTCATCAAAGCATCATCATCATCAGAGAGCTCATCTCACTCAGATTTTTAAAAATTTTACATTTGTATTGGCGTGACGAGAGAATATTTATGTTTGTTGCCTTTTGTTCTCAAATCTTGACTCGTGGTCCAAGTGGACATTTTGCATGAAGATCATATCGGAGGAACCACAACACAGAAGCGGCAGCACAAAAGCAATTGTGAGAATTGCTGACGTTGATCATAGCACTGGTTTCTTCCGTTGTCACAGACTTTTGTCTTTGCTGCTGTCATGGAGGGGCGGCGCCGCTCTTTCACTGACCTCCAAATTAAAATGCAAAGCAGCATCCATTCAGTTCTTCAAATCGTAGATGCATCGCTGCACGTATTAAATGTGGAGCAGCAGAAATAACCGAACAACATTATGTCCGGCGTCGTGCATTAAAATGTCTGACTTTGTTTTGTTGCCACCTTCCAACAGGAGCCACCAAAGATATGGGGAAGATGCTTGGTGGAGAGGAGGAGAAGGACCCCGATGCTGCCAAGAAGGAGGAGGAGAGGCAAGAAGCACTGAGGCAACAGGAGGAGGAGAGGAAGGCCAAATATGCAAGGATGGAGGCAGAGAGAGAAAACATCCGACAGGGCATAAGAGACAAGGTAAGGACATTTCAACACTTAACTCTGTTCCCCCTAATTATTAAAATAATGCATTAAATCAGTTGTAGGGGATGCAGACTTATTTCAGGAGCTTACTTTATTTAAAAAATAATGGAAGAAAAAAAATCACGACTAAAACAATTTAGGAATGGTCATAAAGAGGACCGGACGTAGCACGAGAGCCAGGGTCCCTCGGGGGGAAGGAGGGAAAACTGAAGGACTAAAAGGAGTGAGGCTGATGAGTGGAGTGGCTGCAGCTGAGGCAGGTGAAACAGAGGAGCTGACCTGAGGAGGTTAAAGAATAAATTTGTTCATGTTGTTGAAGATTATAAGCTCCTTCCCTGTCGGACATTTACCCATTTGTTTCTGCACCCTGGTAGCAATAAAACTAAATACACAACTGTGATTTATTTGGCTTCCTTTGATCTCCTGCATCTTGAGCTTTTGTTTTAAAGTGCTTTTTTATTATTATTATTATTGAAAATTTTAACTATTTTTAACGCTACAGTAGCGATCAAAATACATCATTTCTTACTAGTTTTGAGTACCGGTTGTATATTTGTGTATTTATTTCCTACACCTTTTGTGGTGCCCCGTCATGGAGCGAAGAGAGGAATTGGACTGTCGGTCTTATGAGGAAACTTTGCATTCTTGTTTTTGTATTGCTTAAAAAGTAGTTTCCTGAAACTGTTGGAGTGGCAAAGATCGATTTGGCCACAACCCTGGCCATGCCGTTGCTCCTGGTTTTGGATAAAATGTCCCCCTCCACTCACCAGGATTCATCTTTGTCCAGCAAAAATAAAAAAAATTAAAAAATTTAAACTACCTCTGTTCTTCTCCACAGTGCAACTCCCACCCACTTGAATACCTTGCAGCAGAAACATTAAGGTGTGTCACGCTGGTTCAGTTGGTAGAGCTGTTGCCTCTCAGTGAGAAGGTTGCCGGATTAAATCCCAGCCGGGGGCCTTTCTGGGTGGAGTCATGTTCTCCCTTTGCTCGTGTGTTTTCTTTGGGTACTCCGGTTCACAGACTAAAAACATGCATGTTAGGCTGATTGGTAACTCTAAATTGTCTCTAGGTGTGAGGGAAAGAGGGAACGGTTGTCTCGTTTGTCTCTGTGTCCATGTGATGGACTTGAGACCTGTCCAGGGTGTCCTCCACCTCTCACACAGTGACGACTGGACATGGGCACCAGTGACCCCCATGACCCCAAAAGGAAGAAGTGGGTAAAGATGATGGATGGATTAATTCCCTGTTCATTTCCCGTCCTCATCTTAAACATTCACAATAAATATCCTTCAGCGACAGAGGACATTGGCGTGCCACCGGTTTAAAACTCAATTCAGTAATTTTCCCGTTAGCGTTTGGAATATCTCGTCACAGATTATTTCCTGATTTTAGCTCTGACTTTTTCTTCACTGCCTCTCCAGAATGACTCCACGTCTGTCGACTCTCGTCCTCGCAGCCTTTAGTCATCGTTTCTTAGAAGTGAAGAACTTCACCTCGTCTCTTTGGAGCCGCCGTCTCTCTCCGACTGTTCACACCCGGGGATTACTTTACCTTCTGGATACATGTAGAGCGCAAATATTATATCTGACATAAATCCATAGAGTTTAAAACTTTTCTTTGTGAAGTTCCTGTAAATTAATTTTGGGGAAGTTGGGGAATCAACTCTGAAGTTTACTTCCAGTCGACAGAAGAAACCAGAGCAGAAGAAGCACGACAGCAGCTCTGTGGGAAGGGTTTGATTAGAACAAGAGGAGCGGCGCTGACGGAGCGTGACGCTCTTCTCTTCAGCTGATGAAAGGGTTCGTTGCTGCAGAACGAGAGCGAGAGGGAGGCTGAGGAGGACAGACCGGAGGAGGCGTAATAAAAACAACAACAAAAGCAAATAAACATTCACTGTAGGAGCATTTACTGGCATCGTTTGTGAGAAAGAATTCCTTCATAAATGCTTAAATTTTGTCTTGAGTGGGAATATTGATATATCAAAGATAAACTAGAGAAACTGCATTTCCTGCAAAAATACAGTGTGAATACTTATTGCTGAAGAACTTGCTGAAAAACAGCTGAATTTAGCTAAAAACATGCTGAAATGTAGCTGAAATTAAACAAGCCTAAGTTGGCAGAAAAAGCAGAAAGAACAGATATTTGCTGAATTAGGTTTAAATAAGAAGAAATGGGCACAAAAATGAGGAGATTAGCTAAAAATTGTGGAAATTAGCAAAAAACAGCTAAAAAGTAGCTGAAAAAACAGAAGCTTAACCTACAAGAAGGAAGTGGAAAGAACGGAAATGAACTAAAAAATGTGGAAATAGCTGAAAAAGCTAAAGTTTGCATTAAAACAGCTAAATACTAGCTGATATAACAAACTAATCAGAAAAAATCTGCAAGGAGCATAACAAGCTGACCTTAGCAGAAAGAAGATAAACATAATTAATTGAAAGTTGCAGAAAATACCAATAAAAACTTGAATTTATCTGAAAACAGCTGAAATTAGCTAAAAATGTTCTTAAAAAGCTAGCTGAAATTTTAGAACGAGCTTAAATTACCAGAAGAAAGCAGAAAGAACATGTTCGCTGAAAGAAGCAGAAATGAGCACATGAACGTGGAAATTATCTGAAATATGCTGAAATTAGCAAAAACAGCTGAAAAGTAGCTTAAAAAGCAGAAAGAAGCTAAAATTACAAGAAGAAAATGGAGAGAGCACTTTTTTGCTAAATTAGACTGAAAAAAGTTTAAATAAGTGCAAAAATGTGGAATTAGCTGAAAGCTTAAATTAGCACAAACAGCTAAATAGTAGCTGAAATAGCAGAAATGAGCTGAAAGGAGCATAACAAGCTGAACTTAGCAGAAAGAAGTTAGAAGAAGCACAAAAATGTTGTAAGCAGAAAGAATCTGAAAGGAGCACAAAACAGCTGAAAAAAAATCCTAGCTGAAATTAGCTGAAAATACCAAACAAAAAGTTGAAAATTGCACAAGGAAGCTGAAATAAGCTGAACCAGAACAAAATGTGAAAGGAGCAGTAAAGTTTGTAAACAGATCTAAAGATCTGAAGGATGTAAAATGAGATCCATTCATTTTCTATGAGAAGAAAATGGCAGAAAAGGCTAAATATTTCAAAAAGCTAAAATTGCACCAATAACAAAAGTCATAGCAGGATGGTCCTGAAAGAGCTGAACGTTCTTGATTTATGATTTGTTGAAATAGATCGAAAACTGCAGGACGAGAATCACGCTGAAAAATGGATCACAAATGCTGCATACGTCTTCACACAATACGCTCAATACAACAGTGTGTACATTTATCAAGCGTATGATTTAGTGTTGATTTTATTATTTTATTTTTTTAAAGGTTATTAAAAAAAGCAAAATCCATGCCAACATTTAAAGATCTCTCATTGTTGCTGATAAAGGACCATTGAACAATTTATTTAAAGCCACTAAATATTCAAATTTAACAGTTAAATGTTTATACATGATCTGTTTTTCACTAGTTGTTACCTTTTATACTAATAATGGACCAACATGTTTAAAAACAATAATTTGCTTGGTTGTTTCTTAGAAATTGGACTTTTCAGTCAGAGAAAATGGGCCTTTTTACTTCTTTATTTTCACATTTGTACATTAAATTTGTAGAGGAATATAACCGTCTGGTGTGAATAATATCAAGGAGCCATATAATAATCCAAAAATGTGCAATTTATTCACGAGTTTAGTTTTCTGTTTAGATTAATTTGGGGATAATTGTTATATTATACAGTATAACAAAAATAAGTATAATAAAACTCTCCATGGGAACTGGGCTCAGTTTCAGGTTAACTGTATTTCAATGACTTATCCTCTGATGTTTTTTACAAGACAACAATGTAACAAATTTATCCCCAAAATCTTATTTTATATTTAAAGGATAAGTTTTATTTTAAACTGTTAGACTAAAATAAGCCAAATAATGTTCATTCAAACAGAGAAAAACCACCAAGTTCTGAACTTTTTCTTAACCAGTCTGTTTTTACATATTCAAATTAAGATTAGAACATATTTAAATATATTTTTCAGGTTAGGTATTGAGCTCGGCGTCGACTCGTCTAAACTCAGACGATTCTCCGAACAGACACATGTGGCAGAAATGGATTCTGGGAGTCTTGCCCTAAATTATTTATTGCTTCAGAATCCCATTACCGTCTGTCTGGCACAACAGCAAAGAGGTCACAGCCGAGCCTGAATGATGCTCCTCCTCTCCGCCTCCTCGTTGGCCGTCAATCAGCCCTCTGACCTTCCTGTGCTCTTCAACCTGATCCTTCCTGTCCAGTTCTGTTGGGCTTCCTGAAACCAAAACCTCTGTTGTCACCGTGAGCACCAATCTGAGTGGTAACGGAGAACTTCAAACCAGTAAAAAGGAAAAAACAACTCAAAGGTTTGTTGTTGCTAAGGAGTTCAAGTTCAAGAATCTTTATTATCCCCAAGGGGCAATTTGTTTCACAGTCAGTAGACACAGAGACATTAAAATAAGAGTAGCGAGATCATCACTCTTCGTTGAGAAGCCTGATTGCTACAGAGATGAATGAGTTTTTCAGTCTGTTCGTGTTACGTATGGAAGCAACCTAAACTCACCATGGAGTGGATGATCAGGATCTGCCAGAATCAGCCTGGCCTTGTCCACTGACCTCACCTGTAGGGCCGTGCCAGCAGTTTTATTGCACATCCTGACAATCCCTGAGAGTTTGTTCCTGTTTTTATGTCAAGAGTCCAAACCAGCAGATGAAGGTGAAAAGTTATGAGACTCGATAAAACGTTCTCATGAAAGGAACCGAACGTACCGAAGCTGATGAGGGAAGTGGCTGCAGCTGTGACGGACAAAATGGGGAGCAGGTGTAGATGGGCGTGGCAGGCTGGCTGGAAAGGTGCTGACTGGGGGAGAAGCGGCTGATTGAGCCGAGGAACAAAAACTGTTTTCAGTGAGTTTAAAAATTTTTTTATTTAAATGCTCGGTTTTCTGGAAAGATTTCAGCGCTGATCTCTTAACAAATCATCGGCTGCTGTCCATCAGTCGGGCAGAACTATTTCCAGCAGATGCTCCATCGTGTTCACCCCAAGGTCAGACTGTGCAATGCTTTAAAAAAAAAAAAAAAAGGGAAATTTCCAGCCCAGAGAGGGTCGATTGTCCTCACCAAGTTGAGAGACAAATGGAGCTTGAGATCCACAGACAGTATTGTGTAAGAGTATGCAATACTGCAGTATTCCACTCTGTTCCGGTCCATTGTGGTGAAGAGGGAGCTGAGCTGTAAGGCAAAGCTCTCCGTTTACCAGTCGGTCCACGTTCCTACTCTTACCTATGGTCACGATCTGGGTAGTGAACCCAGTAGTTGTAGTTGTTTGGTAGTGACCAAAAACTTTGAGATGGTGAAAACAGGCGGTTGAAACCGGTTTTCCCTGAAGGGTGGCTGCACGCTCCCTTAGAGAGGGTGAGAAGTTTAGTTCTCCAGGAGACTCATCTCCTCCACACTGAGAGAAGCCAGTTGAGGTGGTTCAGCACCTTCATGAAATGCAATTTATCTAGTTGCTTTTGTTGCAGCCTCTGAAAGGCGGATCGTCGGTCAAAACCAGCGTGGACCTCATTCAGATTCAGTTTTTGTTGAATGAATATCGATGTGTTCTAAGTTCTGGCTCTTTATTCATGTATTTATTTGCAGTACGGCATTAAGAAGAAGGAGGAGAAAGAAGCCGAGGCAGCAGCTGCCATGGAGCAGGCCTCAGAGGGCAGCCTGACCCGCCCGAAGAAGGCCGTTCCCACCGGCTGCGGCGACGAAGAGGAGGAGGAGAGCATCGTGGACACGGTCATGAAGTTCATCCCGGCGCCTCTAATGGATATGTTTAATAAGAAGTAACAGAGTTTGGGATAAAATGTGTTTAACTTCTTACAACGTCCATCAAATTAATGCTGTACCAGCCTGTCCTGCCCCGATCCGCTGTGCACTCACCTTTCCTCACACCTGCCCCGGCCCATCGGTCGACGTGTCCTGGAGTCACGCAGCGTGCCACGATTCTGTCTTTGTGCTAAATTATCCGATCCGTACTTTTTAAGATCCTGAGCATAGTATTTGTCCCGATAACTGATGATTTTAAAAAGTACGGCATCCCACCGACCTAATGTCCTTTCAAAATATCCGTCGCCCGTTATCCACCCGTTTTGTTTGTAAATAGCCTCAGAATGATAAAAAGTACTATATATATGAGTGAAATATTACATATAACAAGATGACTAAGAGTATAAGCCATATTTTTAACTTTTATGAAATTATTCAAATCATTTCAACGTTTTAGTGTTTATTTTGTTCGTTTTATGTTCTTGCTAATATTTGATACATACAGTGTATATAAATATTCCTTACATTTTTATTGGTTCCCACTTGTGAGGATTCACCCGTTCATCACGTTCCCATTGACTCCCAGTGAAGGTGTGTTCAAAAGAGCGTCTGTAAACCTGAAAGTGATGGAGTTTCGTAGAAATTTGGACTTTTTCTTTTTTGGTAATTTACTTTTTAAGCATGCGGTTAATGGTTGTGGAGTAACGTGATTATATGGATCCCATTTCATGTGTTGAGATGAAGCAGAAAACGTTGGTTTTTGAGGCAATAAATGGTTCTCTGTGTTTATTTATTTACATCCAACATGTAAATTAGGAAATGGACTAAAATGTTCTTCCATTGGGAAAACAGTAATTGTTCTCCATAATGTAAAGCTAAAGATAAAATTATTAAAGTGGCTTAAAAGAGAAACATCATTAGTTTTGTTAGCCGGTGTTTAAATTTATTTTATTTTAAGCGGTTTAAACCTGGCTGGTCAATTTTTGAATTGTGTTTAATCTTCAAGTTTTTTCTTTAATTATTGTAAAAAAAAAAATCAAACACAACTATGTTGTGTACACACTATATGTGAACAGACAGTGACAATAGTGCAATATATTGTTCAAAAATGAAGTTGTCCTGTGTCTGGTTTAACTAATAGTCCCAAATCAGCAATAACAGACAATCTTCATTGTTGTGTGTTTTAAAGTTATTCCCTGATGTGTTTGTCGACGTTAAAAGACGCCAACGTGTCCACTTATTGTAGCTGCAGTTACACGTTTGTAGGTCAGACATGTTTAACTAAAGTAGTCAAAAGAGGGAAGGTGGGACAATTTGTTTCATGTCATGAAAAATGTTTACAGATGTTACAGACTGCCATTTATAAATCATAGAGCTGTGAGAAGTTCTGCATGAAATCTTGAGACATTGAGGCAAACACCTAAAATGACAAATATAGATAAGGTTCCAATCTGATTTTCTCGAAATGAGTCGTTATTCCTCCTTACTTTCAGTGTCTCGTTAAACATTCCAGATGTTTCAGACATTCCAGCAGACCTGTGCAGGTAACTAACCGACAATTACAGAAAAACATCTGCAACAGGTCTCAGCCGCTGCCTTCTTTGCCTTCAACACCAGTGCATCAAAACGCATCACTTCCAATGTTCCTGCGGTTATAACTCGAAAACTGATAATTGTTACGTTAACGCACGTAAAACGTTAAAAGCCAGTGGGACAGGCCACGTTTCATTTACGTTGTTGGAAATGGTTTCGTGTTCCACGTGCACACAGCTGTAGTTGCAAATTTTAAAACCACCTATAAAGTCCCAGTTTAATTTGTCTACCTGATCCCAGACGGCCACTATCCTGCAGTCGTTTCCCTGCTCTTCAGCGTGTCTTCACGTTTTGCAGAAGCCTGTTATTCAATCATTAATTTAAGTCAGGTGTGTCAAAGCAGGGAAACAACTAAAACATGCAGGATAGTGGCTCTGGAGGACCAGGATCGGGCACAATTGTGTGGTTCCCAACCCTGGTCCCTGCGGAACACCATCCTGCATGTTTTAGTTGTTTCCTGCTCTAACATGCCTGATTCTGTGATTTAATTACTTCCTTAAGTTCTACAGAAGCCTGTTAATCACCTGTTCACTCAAATCAGGTGCCTCAAAGCAAGTAAAGCATGCAGGACGGTGTTCCTCAAGGACCTGGGTTGGGAACTACTGAACTTGTGCGTGCCGTCAATGACAAATTTAGCTTTCGCTCCATGTTTTGTAATCGTGCAGCTTATATGAAAACATAAAAGTTAGAACTGTAGTAAAAGATGTTTATAGAGCCATTTATTTAACATCCTGTGACTTCAGTGCGTTTGTAAACCGTCTTTGCTAGCAGCTCCAACCATGCGTTAGCTGCCGAACAGTTACGGCAGAAAATTGTTTTTATCATTATAGTGCAGTTATTTAATCAAACCAAAGAACAACACTGGTGGTAGAAAACCATATATATATATATATTTTTTTTTTTTTTTTCATTTTAACCAACTGCTCATTTTCAGTTTAAATTCTCAGGTTTCCTAGTTTTACCAGATGCTAACCATAACCAACCATCGCTAAGTGTAAAATTAGCATCACTGCTCAATCATTTTCAGTGCTATCAATCGAGCTAGCTTGCACGTGTTTTTATTTTTGAGTTAAATACATGTTTAATCCAAGAATATGTTGATATTTATATATAGAAAGCTACAGTTACTGCCCTTGTAAAAGATGCCAAGCAACAACACCTTAAATATCACGAGTGTTTTCGAGCTAACGGAGCGTATTTTTCAAACTCTTTAAATCCGATCACCCTTGGCATCTCATTCACTGGGTAATGTATCAATGAAAACATCTTAAAGATGCCAAATCAATTGCACTTTTGTGACATTTAGACCACTGCCCACTGTTGAGCGTTTTTAAGAAGATTAAGTGTGAAGAAAAAAAAAACGACTCCACTTTGAAGTCACTTAGTGTCACTCCTGCACCCACAGGTCTAATAAACTGCCTGACAAACCTGACTTTTAGAAAAATAAGACTTTGATGTGACTTGAATGTAAGTGTCTGACTTTTCTCTCTTCTTGTGTCTGTCTATCTGTTCTGTAAGTGTTGAGGAGATTACTCAGTGTGGCGTTTTATTATTTATTTTTATTCTTTCTTGGCTGTAGTCTGTCCTGTTCTCGTCTTCTGGTGGTTATTTTGTGAAAAAGAACAAAAAAAACATTTAGAGTGTTGTTTTGTACTGCGAGCTCTCCTCGCCCTCCTCCCTCCCTTGTTCTATCTGTATTTTCCCACATGTTGAGGAAAACGTATGCATGCTTATGGTGTGTAGACAAGGTTGTTAAAATAAACGTTTCGTGTCCTCACGGTGTTTCGAAGCTCCACCTGTTAGCCTCACTGCATGCCGTTTTAGACAAATATTTTAACCTGTATCTTTCCTGCAAAAATGGAATCACCGCACACTGAGAATAAAGTGATTTCATACGATTGTTTTCATTGTCTAGTGTTTCTGCATTTTAACTGCCCGTCACCGGCTTTTAGCTAATCCTGCCTTTAGAAACCCACTTTAAGGAGATGATTGAAGCCTGGGCTTCTGATTTTTTTGAGGAAGAATCACTTAAAACGACTTTCACAGCGGTAGCTCATCTCATCGCATGGCTTTCGTTAAGGAAGCATATGTGCTAAGATCTTTATTGTGAACTGTTATCATTTCTGTCAATACAATTTCTCAATATGTCGTTATTTCTCAAAAAACATCTAAACATCTATCCAATAAAAGGTGAAAAGGGCTGTCAACAGAACGCAATGTGTGGTTCCAGTCATGACCCGTGCTGTGATGCTGAGGAGAGACATGATGGAGGTTCAAACGGCGTCTCTGTCATACAAGATGTTTGTCAGGAGTGGGTCTGTGATGAGCACTGAGAAAAACAGAATGCTACTAAAATGATCACAGTATTTCATACTGGGGGAGGGGAAATATGTGCATGGGGGTCACACCAAAAACAGAACTTCAGAAGATCCAAAACCACAACCTCTGTCTCTGAAAATTTAGGGTCATCCAGGTCTTTGTCTTTAAGATATGCTTTTAGTCCAAGTAGCTGATTGGATTCATCGGGTTTCATGGACAAATATAACTGTATCATCAGCATAACAATGAAACTGTATCCCATGCTGTTTAATAACATCATCCAAGCATATATAAAAGTAAAGAGTATTTGTCCAAGCACTGAACCCTGAGGAACTCCATGACTAACGTTGGTGTATAAAGAAGACTCATTATTCCCATTTACAAATTGGAATATGTCAGATAGATATGATTTAAACCATTGTAGAGCCATTCCTGTAATTCCAATATCATATTATGATCAACTGTATCAAATGCAGCAGAGGTCTAACAGGACCAGTACAGACAAGTCCATTGTCAGAGGCCATGAGAATATCATATTAACTTTCACCAGTGCCGTTTCTGTGCTATGATGAGCTCTAAACCCCAAACATTAAATAATTAAATGTGCAATTAGCTAAATAGTTTTATAAAAGTAGTTTAAAGGTGCATGCTGTTGCAGCTCTGAAAGCTCTTTTTGGTGGAGCAGTATCACATTGTGAAATCTTTCTTGCTGTATGTTGTGACAGATGTTGAGTTATTTATGCTCCGTCACCTCTTCACGCACAAAGGTGCTCATCACACCGTCACATTGTTATTAGTGGCACCCATGGAAGAGTCAGCAGTAGTAACACGATTAACAACTGAACACCTTTTAGGTGCAAAACGTTCTTAATATTCTGTGGAGTTCACAACACTAAATCAACCTTAAACCAAACTTTTAAACATTTTATCCAAGTGAACTTAAACCTAATGTAGCAGGTCAATGTTTCAGTTAAGGTGCATGCATGCCAAACAATTTATAAACCAAACAATGAAGTTGTAGGAATTATGTTTCTGTTCAGTGCCCTGAGATGACTTCTGTTGTGACTCGTCGCTATATAAATAAACTGAATTGAATTTCTGGTTTCAGTGAATCACCGTTTGTGGTTAAAATTATAAAACTAAGTGCAAATTGTAGACACCAAAATCTAAAAAAACAGATTGTACCACCCAAACTGTTGGTGACAAAACATTTGGCTGGCTCAGTGGGGCATATTTTAAATCATCACGTCAAAAAACAATAGCTGTTATCTTCAATGTGAAATATAAAACAAAAAAAACTTTTAAAAAATAATGCATTTTTCCAGATTTCTTCTAAATATCAGTGCATATGAGCATTCTTTACCTGAATAAAGTGGCTTCTTAATTAGTAACATGTTCAACCCGGATGTTCTCCAAGGTTTGAAAGCCTATTTAATCAGACAAGAACTCAAATTTCATATAAAAGTATGATCTTGAGTTGAATACCCTGTCTATAGCCGTATCAGGAGATGAAACCGATGACAGACGACACAGAGCCATGAATAGGTCACCAGTCAATCACAGAACCGAGAATCAGAAAGACAACCATGAACATTCACCGCCAATTTAGAATCATCAATTAACCTCGGGTGCATGTCTATGAACAGATAATGGGGAGCTAAGAAAAGGACCCTCATGTGAAGGAAAAAAAATTCTGAGGCTAAAGATGTCAAGAAAAGTCAGATTTGGTCTTTCATTTGGTTAAAAATAAATGTTCTTTTGTCTGTTTCTTTTGTGATGGTCTCCAAAGCAGGTGAACTTTGCAGAGGATGATGTTCCCGGTGAAACCTGGGCTCAAACCTGCAGCCTCAAGGTTAAAGATGGCGGCACAGACCACCAAGCTACTGCAGCCCGCCGCTTATAAATGAAGAAACTACGACATAATCCCAATTTATTGAGATTAATTTCAGAATTAGTTGGGTTTACAACCTTTATGCATCAGATAAAGCAACACCAACATCCTGATTAGTTTCTTTATTTATTCATTTATTTATTTTACTGCTGTGATATTCACATAATCCACCTCCTTTAATGGCTCCAGGCTTTGTTGTTCTATTTGCAGCAGGGCTGGAATAGATCCGATGGTTTTACTGCACCGCTGCTTTTTCAACACTTCAGGACACATAAGAGTCTGGGCTCCTCCAGTCTCCCAGCAGGAAATGGAGGTATAAATCAATCACATTAGTATTCATGCTCTGAGGTAGCCCTTTTAAACCAGGCTGCCTTTGTGCTCTCTGAACAGCACTCTGGCTGCGGGAGCGCTGGAGCTGTGCTGCTGTCCTGCAGACGTGGAGCAGTCAATGCTCTCCACTGGGCACCCGCTCCTGGGCATCTACCCCAGCTGCCATGTATGGACTCAGATCTGATTAATCTCTATTCACACCTTAATACTCGTTTTTTTTTGTTTGTTTTTTGTTTTTAAATAAGCTGATGGTCAAAAAAACATAACTCCAGTCTTCAGTGTTGAAGTTGCTGCTTGAGAAGATGCAAACTATTCCAGAGAGGATATACATAGATAAACAACGAAGTGAAATTCACATTTAAAAACATGTATTCTGTTGATTCGAGGTGTAACGGGACACGTTTCTATACCGAACCATCACGGTACAGATGTTTCAGATACAGCAAACAGTTGTTTTGTCAACTGATAACAGAAAAGAAGCAGATTAAACTGAAAACTCAACATTAAATCAAGAAGACGCAGAAGCTTAAAGCGTCTGTGGCATGCATATCCTACAAAAACAAAAAGTGGAAGAATTAATTAATATTTAGGAAATTTGACAGAACGCACATTTTACCCATTTTGTCACAAAACTGGCATATTGTAGGGTTTCAGCTATTTCTCCAGGTTCCTGTGCGGCGCCAATGAGCAGCAGCTGTGAGTCATCGTCCTATGAGCTCCAGGAGCATAAAGACTGCAGGAGAGCTCCCCTCCTTGCTGGAGCATTACATGCCCATTGGTAGTAGCTATCAGCCTTCTCTTGGTTCTTGAACTGAAAGATTTATGCTTCTGCTGTTTTCTTCTCATGC